ACAAGAGACCATGAATTGGATGAGTCATCCGAGCTTACATATTTTTTGAATTTTTAAATTCTATAAATATCGTCACTCTTTTCATTCTTCTTAGAGACTTTTAAGAGTATCAAAACGAGATATATTTGAAAGAAATCTTTGAGCTTGCCTTTGCATTCATTTCATTTATTTCTTTATATTAAAAGTATTGATTGATTCAAACTCTTTAATCATCATCTTTATCAAAGTTTTTTCATTTTTCTTTTTGTACTTAACTTATTTCTATCACTCATAAAAGAGAGATATATTTTGAAGAAAATCTTTAAACTTATATTGTATACATTTGTTCTAGTTATACATATTGAAAACTTTGATTGATTGAAACAAACTTGTAAAATCATCATATTCATCAAAATTTCTCGTTTCTCTCTAGCCATTTAATTTATTACAATCATTCATTAAAAAAAGAATTACATTTTGAAAATATTCTTGAACTTATATTGCACTTATTTCTTCTACATTTTCTCATTGAAAAACTTTGATTGATTAAATCAAATTTCTAATGATCATATTTATCAAAAATTTTGATGTAACACTTGAACTATCATTTATTACTATTAATTGAAATGTTAGTCTCTCTTAACACTTAATTCATTTGTATCATTTATTATGAGATATTTTTTATTATAAAATCATTTACTCTAAACTTGGGGGTCATATTAGGGTTAGTATAAAGATCGATACTCCTTATTGTAAGTCACCGTGTGGGTCATATTGATGTCGCGTAAAGCTCAATAGTGTATAAGGATCGGTGTTTCTTATTTATAAGTCACCGAAAGAGTTGTAAAATGTTAGATTGTACCATAAGTCAATCAATATAATGAAAATGCCTTACTCATGTCGGAGAGTTTGGTAACGGAGGACGTAGATCATTAATTTGGATAGAATCTCTACAATTATATTGTTTGCATCATATCTTCCGTTTTACTTATCATTTTCATATTTGCGTTTATTATTTAAATTAATCTATTCAGTCTTTACTTATTTGAAATTATATTAATTCTTTGAAAAGTTTTAGAAACCAATTCGCCCCTTTTGGTTAGGTTTTTTGGGCTATCATGTACTCCTTTGTGTGATACCCCAGATAAAAGTTACGCACTTTTTCATAGATCCTTCTTATTTTTCATTTTTTATATCGATTTTTTATTTTCTCTTCTAATTGTTCTGTATCATGACTCACGGGGTAGCACCTAGGTTCTAGCTCGGAACACTTGAAAAGGCCTCCAAAATGATGTTTTTAAGGTAAGGAAAATTGGGCAAATCCTGTTCCGAAATCAAGCAATTGGGACTAATGTGACTATTTCAACTCCTCTTAGCTTTGGTAATACATCGGGCTGGTTGAGTAAAAGGGAATTGCCCATTTCTATGGTCACCACTAATGCGTCTTTGCTTGTGATCACTATGTTCTGCACATCGAACACAGAACATATCGAACATGAAAATGCTTGAGATTATTGTGTTATATTACCATTAAAAGTGAAAATCATGAAAAGAAAGTAAAGTGAGTAACTAAAGAGTATGCAACCTAAAGAACTTAAAAATAACTTAAAAGTTACTTTCTCAATTCTCATTGACTTTTTGAAAAAAAAAAGGTGGAAAATGTTAAAGTTTGACCCAAATTCCATTGGGTATTTGTGAATGAGTTGAAATGGGTTTTGAAAAGGTTAAAATATGGACCAAGAAGTGATTTGACCGCATTTCCATTAGCTGCGCGCCAAGCTCTTGCTTTAGCGTGCAAAACAGGGAATGTCGTAGCCTGTTTTCGAGTTGTGTCTCCGCCACTCGCTTTTCGCAAGGGTGGTGCTCGAGCGGCGGTGGCATCGAACCACGATCCATTTTGCATTTGACTCTTCTTTCTATTTCAGATAAGTTAGATAATATTGTACACACATCTTTGTATTCCATATTATAGTGAATTCTCCTTTCCTCTTCCAAATTTCTTGTACTGTAAATGCAGCTTCATATTGTGCCATATAATCTTCTCTTTACTTTCTAAGAAGTGGTATCAGAGCTT